AAAAGTCATCTTAATTGCACCTACCACCGATAGAGCTTTTGAACTAACTCAGACAAAAATGATTATAAACTATCAACAAAAAGCATGAAGTTGGATCACCTTCTTTTGACCTCTCCCTGCCAAAATGACAAAGGACTTTTAATAAGCCAAGCTTTCCATTTGCCACAAATAGGTATGTTGCTCTCAGGGTTTTTTGGCCAGAGGATAAGCCAAAGGAAATTATTGTCTTATGTATTCTGTATGTTATTTGCCTAGTAAGGAAAATAATTCTCTCTTTGTCCCCAGGTCCTGTTATTTGGGCAGAGGTGGGAGACATCATCAGAGTTACCTTCCATAACAAAGCAGCATATCCCCTCAGCATTGAGCCAATTGGAGTGAGAGTCAGTAAGAACAACGAGGGCACATATTATGCCTCACATGGAAGTGAGTACAGCACTCTTTAATGTATCAGTAATGTTTAATAACCCACTGGGTGGTCACACACACACACACACAAAAACTATCCTGCAAAAATTGACATCATGAATTTGAGAGGAAAGAGCTTTTATATCATCTTCTGGCATCATGCTATGAAGTACATAAAAACCTCTTTCTTTGGAATGGATACAAATATGGATTCCTTCCAGTCAGTTGGCCAGGTAGCTGTCTTCCAAATCTCTGGATATAGCCAAGTGAGTGCCTCTAGCAGGGCATCCATTTGTTGAAACATCTCAGTGGGTATCCCATCAATTCCTGGATCCTTGTTTTTTGCCAATTCATCAGAGCAACTTCAACTTCTTCCTTCAATTCCATTGGTTCTTGATCACATACCACCTCCTGAAATATGTGAATATTGACCAATTATTTTTGATACAGTGACTCTGTGTATTCCTTCCATCTTCTTTTTGATGTTTCCTGCATCATTCAATATTTTGCCCATAGAATCTTTCATTATTGCAACTCAAGGCTTTTTCCTCCAGTTCTTTCAGCTTGAGAAATGTCAAGCATGTTTCTCCCTTTTGGTTTCCTAACTCCAGGTCTTTGCACATTTCATTATAATAATTGGCTGTGTCTTCTGAGGCTGCTCTTTGAAATCTTCTGTTCAGCTCTTTTATCTTGTCATTTTCTTCCATTACTTTAGTGACTCTCTGTTCAAGGGCAAGTTTCAGAGTCTCTTCTGACTCCATTTTGGTCTTTTCTTTGTTTCCTGTCTTTTAATGATCTTTTGCTTTTTTCATGTATGATATTCTTGATGTCATCCCACAATTCCTCTGCTTTTCAGTTATTGGTGTTCAGAGTGTCAAAACAGTTCTTCAGATGGTCTCCAGATTCAGGTGGGATATAATCAAAGTGATGTTTTGACTGTCATGGACTTGTTTTAATCATCTTCAGCTTCAACTTGAACATGCATATAAGCAATTGATGGTCTGTTCCACAGGCAACTCCAAGCCTTGGTTTGGCTGAACATATTGAGCTTCTCCATTGCCTCTTTCACAGATGTAGTCAATCTGATTCCTGTGTATTCCATCTGGTGAGGTCCGTGTTCATAGTCACCATTTATGTTGTTGAAAAAAGGTATCTGCAATGGACAAGTCACTGGTATTTCTTGCAAAATTCTATCACAAGATCTTCAGTGTCATTTCTGTCACCAATGCTGTATTTTCCAACTATCAGAGATTCTTCATTGTTTCCAACTTTCGCATTTCAACCACCAGTAATAATCTATAATCTTGATTGCATATTTGGTCAATTTCAGACTGCATAAGTTGGTAAAAATCTTCAATTTCCTCATCTGTGGCTTTGTTGGTTGGTGTAGAAATCTGAATAATAGTAGTATTAACTGCACTTCCTTATAGGCGAATGGATATTATCCTATCACTGACCCCATTGTACTTCAGAACATATCTTGAAACATTTTTTGAGATAATGAAGGACACACCATTCCTCTTCAATTTGTCATTTCCAGCATAGTAGATCATATGGTTGTCTGATTCAAAATGGCCCAAACCAGTCCGTTTCAGCTCACTAATGCCTAGGATATTGATCTTTTTGTGTTCTGTTTCATTTTTGACAATTTCCAGTTTTTTTAGATTCATACTTATACATTCCATGTTCTGATTATTAATGGATGTTTGCAGCTGTTTCTTCCCATTTTGAGTTGTGCCACATCAGCAAATGGAGGTCCCAAAAGCTGTACTCCATCCATGTCATTATGGGTCAGTTCTACTTTGAGGAGGCAACTTTTCCATTGGTATTTTGAGAGCCTTCCAACCGGAGGGGCTCATCTTCCAGTACTATATCAGACAATGTTGCAGGGCTGTTCATAAAGTTTTCCAGTAATATTTCTGACAGTGTTTCACTGCTAATCATAAGCTTTTCACTGGCCAATTCTTTTGAGTAGTGGCTGGTTCCTTCCTTCTTCCAAGTCACTCTCAGTCTGTAAGCTCTGTTAAAACATGTCCACCATGAGGGACCCTGCTGGTATTTGAAATACTGGTAGCATAGCCAGCCTCACAGCAACATGTAAGCCACCACAGTACAATAAACTGACAGGCGAGTGGTGTTCTATAGTTCTATAGACAACCACTATTCTACTTTTATAAATCCCCTCTACTCTTTCTTCTGTGCATATGTAATTCACATTTTAAATGTGGTGGAGATCAGAGTGTGTATATATATTTATCATTATAATTTTGTACCCAGATTTTGTTCTCTAGCATTGTAAGTATTTTATTAATATAATTTTAGTGATGCAAAATATTCTGTTATAGATGTATTTAAGTATTTTTATATATCAAAGCTGGTCAAATAGGACTAAGATCCTAAGAACCTGCAACCTTGGGTAGGTTATTGAGTTTCTCTGGCCTTAGTTTCCTCAAGTGTAAAATTGGGAGATTGAACAGAACCATCATCCTGTTGTTCTAAAATTATTTTCAATTTCGTTTTGCTATATAAAAATGTAGGAGCTCTTATAGCGTAGTGACTAAGGCACTTGACTGCTAACCAGAAGGCTGGTGGTTCAAACCCACCAGCCACTCCTCGGAAGGAAGGTTAGACAATCTACTTCCATAGTGATAGTGCCTCAGAAACCCAAGTAGGGGTCTCTGTGAGTCAGGTCCGAGTCAACAGCACATAACAACAACAACATATAAAATTTTATTCATTACTAGTGATAGCCAAGCATTGTTCTAGCTGTTGGAAATGCAGAGACAATGCTTGCCTGAAAAAACGTTAACTTGGAGGAGAAATACACACAATGTAACATGTAATGTGTTTGGGACTTTCTCAGGCACATGGGAGCACAGAGAGAGGTTCCAATTCCAGACAGGGGTTTAGAGGAGACTTCCAGGAGGAAGTTACCGTTCTGTGACCAGTCATATAAGCACAGGGAAGATTCCTTTCTAATTCATAATAAGGAACTCAGAAGTTAATTAGACTAGACTAAGTCCAGTCTAATTTGCAAATCAAATGACCACATTAAAAAACACTAAATCTCTTTAATGTGACTTTTCCCACAGGTGTGCCTCCTTCTTCTTCCTCCTATGTGGTACCCAAAGAAACATTCACCTATGAATGGACTGTCCCCAAAGAAGTAGGACCCACTTATGCAGATCCTGTCTGTCTGTCTAAGATGTATTATTCTTCTGTGGATCCCACCAAAGATATATTCACTGGGCTTATTGGGCCAATGAAAATATGCAAGAAAGAAAGTTTACATACGAATGGGAGACAGGTAAGTCCAATCAGGAAAAAATCAAAACGACTTTCCAATCTCTGAATCATCATCATCATAAGGAAAATTTGGGAGGGAGAGATCCTACCCAAGGCAGGAAGCAGTGAAAAGAAGCCAGGGCCAACAGCCAGAACAGGTAGGGGGAAGGTCAGTAAGTGGGCAGAGAGGTTTGGAACAGCTAAGGGAGATGAACTTGTCTGTCAGTTTTTCCTACTGTGGTGGCTTACATGTTGCTGTGAGGCCAGAGGCTATACCACTGACTGGTGTTTCAAACTCCAGCAAGGTTGTCCATGGTAGACAGGTTTCAGCAGAACTTCCAGACTGAGACAGATTCAGAAGAAGGAAGAGTCCATCCACTTCTTAAAGAATGGGTCAGGGAAAACCTTATGAAAACCAGAGAAATACTGTCTGTTACATTACTGGACAGCTTTATGAATAGCCCAGAAATATTGTCCAATACAGTGCTGGAAGATGAACCCCTCAGGTCAGAAGGCACTCAAAATATGACTAGGAAAGAACTGCCTTCTCAGAGTAGAACCGACCTTAATCATATGGATAAAGTAAAGCTTTTGGGACCTCCATTTGCTAAGGTGGCATGACTCAAACTGAGGAGAAATAGCTGCAAGCATCCATTAATATTTGGAACATGGAATGTAGGAATTATGAATCTAGGAAAATTGGATGTTGTCAAAAATGTAATGGAATGCATAAAGATTGGTATCCTAGGCATTAGTGGGCTGAAATGGACTAGGTTTGACCATTTTGAATCAGACAACCATAAGATCTACTATGCCGGGAATGACAAATTGAAAAGGAATAGAGAGGCATTCATCATCACAAAGAATGTTTCAAGATCTATCGTGAAGTACAGTGGGGTCAGTGATAGGATAATATGCATATGCCTACAAGGAAAGCTATATACAATTGAAGCACTTGGCTGCCAGCTGAAAGGTTGGTGGTTCAAGGCCACCCAGAGGCACCCATGGGGTGCAAGTCCACCCTGACACACATGGGATGCTGTGAGTCGGGGTAGGCTCCACGGCCACTGGTCTGCCTACCTCCCTTCTCCCCTCCCTCCCAGTTCACCAGAAGGCCTAAAGACCTGCCCAATACCTGCCACTCACCCTGGGCTCTGCACAGCAACCCCTCCTGTCTCAACAAGGACCTCACTGCCCCAGGTATTTCCTCTGTCCCACTCCTGCAACAAGGTGTATTGTTACTCTAATACCCCACACCCGCTTGGTGAACAGAGGCTCAGCCATCCCCCACTCCCACCCACCTTCTGGGCCCGCAGGAACTCCATCCCACTCTGTGTGCTCCAATGTAGCCTGGGTGATCTGCCCTGCCCTCCCCTGAATTTTTTTTTCTTTCTTTTTTCTGGTTTTTTAGTTTGCTTGCTTTTGTCTGTTTTAAAAGTACTACTATTATTAATACTTTTGTCCTTTTTAATATTATTCTTTATCTTCCCCTCCCAGATCCTACTTTTCAGCTTTTTTCTTTTCCTTGTTCCTGGCTGCAATTTTTTTTTTTTTTCCTCATGTTTAACCCCGCTCCTTGTTTTTCTTTTTGCATTTTTCCCATTTTTATCTTCATTATTCTCCTTCTCTGCCTTTTTTCTCTTATTGCTCTATCCCCAGATATTGCAGGTGTTCTTGTTTTTTTGCTGATGTTCTTGTTTGTCTGGAGGGCGAAACCATGTTGATTGTTTACACATGGCAGCCATTTTGAATATTTAAAGTGACCAAGGCACAGCCACTTTAAATGTTTACAAGTGGATATTTAAAGTGACCAAGGGTGCAGCCATTTTGAAGGTTTACGAGAGGCAGCCATTTTGGATTTTAAAGTGATAGCATTCTCATTCAGATTCCAGGGACCTAAGAACAGGAAGCGAGGCAGGAAGCAGGGAGAGGACAAAAAAAGGGACCTAAGAATAAGCAGCGAGGTGGGAAGCAGGGAGAGGAT